ATTGCTCCTTGTTCTGCCATCCGTCACTACTGAGAACAGCCTCTCTTCACCCTCTTTGGAACCTCCCTTCAGGAAGTTGAAGGCTGCTATCAAATCCCCCCTCACTCTTCTCTTCTGCAGACTAAACGAACCCAAATCCCTCAGCCTCTCCTTGTAGGTTATGTGCTCCAGCCCCCTAATCATTTTGGTTGCCCTCTGCTGGACCCTTTCCTTTCTATCGTGGGGGGCCCAGAACTGGACACAGTACTCCAGATGTGGCCTCACCAGAGCCGAATAAAGGGGAATAATCACTGTTCAGGATAGAACAGCGATTTTCAAACTTTTTTCTCATGACCCAGTTGAAGAAAATGTCCGTGGCCCAACATAATTGACTAGAATGTAGGCTCCAGGGTGGGACTGAGGATGAAAGCTTTGGGATGTATGAGGGGGCTCTGGTTTTGGTGGGGGTTCAGGGCTGCGGCCAGAGGAGCTTATCTTGAGTGTCTGCCAGTCAGTGTTGCTAAGGCAGCTTCCTGCTTTTCCTGGCATTGCAGACCAGGCCATTCCCCAAAAACAGCCAGCAGCAGGTTCTCAGCCAATGGGATTGTGGATCTAGTGCTCAAGGCAGGGGCGGTGCACAGAGCCCTGTGCTCTCTCTCCTCCTACCACAACCTAGGAGCCCAGCTTGTTGCCAATCACTTTTGGGGTGCAGCATGGTCTGCAGTGCCAGTATAAGCAGGTAGCTGCCTTAGCACCCCCACTGGTCACCTCATCCCTCTTCAGCAGTGAGACCCAGTGCCTGATATTCCATGACTTAGTACTGGGTCTCGACCCATCATGTGAAAACCACTGGGATAGGAAGTTGGTTCAAGGAGGAAATGATCTCAAGAACTCTTCCAGTCCCAGCCACTTTGATTTTCTGGTCCCTCTTGCTGTCTTGTCATCGGTTCACTGATTATTTGACAGTCTTTCCCTGTCACACTCCACTCTGTGAGAGCCTTTTGTTCAATGCATAAAAATTGCTCCGTTTATGATTGCAGATCCAACTTCTACATTTACATTACCCTTGTTTATAGGCTAGACTCACGAGAACAATCCTGATAGAGATGCAGCCGTGTTAGTCTGGTCTAGCTGAAACAAAAGACAGGACTTTGCAGCACTTTAGAGACTAATCCTGGTTTTCTGACTACAAATGTCAGCAAATGAATCTAAACGGAGCCAGTTAACCTCACAACTTGATTACGGACACTGCAGCAGCTTGCAAACAGACCGACTCCACTTTGGAAGCCTCTTCAAAGCATAAGGAGACATGACGGGGCTAGACCAAAGGAATTAGTCGCTGCTGCATCTTACTGGCAGGAAGGAGCTTCTCAGTTGATTTTTTTTTTGTCATATGTTTGAAACTAGTGAGTTGTAGGAACAAAGAACGTGTTTGGGGACTGATAGAAAGTGTGTCATTTTCAGCATCAGTGAAGTCAAAGCTGACTGACTACCAGCCATAGTTCTGGGCTTCATAAAGCAAAATACCAAGCAACCAAGGTCTTGAGTTGACATGAAGAAATACTTTCAGACAGGTGATAAAGGCTTTGATCCAAACCCATCCACGTCCGTTAAAAGACCCCATTGATTTGGATGGAGTTTGGATCAAGGTGTCAATGGAAGCCTCTTAAAGTGGATTATGGCGTACAGTTAGAATCTGACCTGCAAATTTCATTAATTTCTGGAACATCTGATTGCTTTATTTTGGAAAACTTCCAGGGGTGTGATTCTAGTCCCACTACCAGTGTAAATCAAGAGTAAGTCCTCTAAAGGGAGGAGAGACCTAGGCCCTAACATGCTATTAAAGGTGTTTTTAAAAGCAAGCCTAACTGTGTATCTTGGTGGAAGTTGTTTTTTAAAAATTTGTCTGGGCATTTATCCCTAGACTATCCCTATAATGAGACACATTCTGGTTGAGAGGGGGGTCCCTGGATTTTCACACATAGTTTCTATCATATAAGTAGAGATACTGCTGGAGAGGTTCTACATGCCACACTGGGATTTCCTTCTGAGCTAGAGGCATTTTCTTAATAATCAGACAAATGCTGTGAACCACTGTCATATTCTGAGGTAAAGTCTCAGAGCGGTAGCCATGTTAGTCTGTATCTGCAAAAACAATGTGCAGTCCTGCAGCACCTGGGAGTCTCTAAGGTGCCAGAGGCGCCTCGTTATATTCGGGTGTGATCCAGATGAGCAAGGGGTTGCATCACTGCCTGCTTGGGACTCTGGGTGCCTTCCATGCTCTGCTGCTACGTATCACATTCTGGATACGTACAGTCAGGGCTGGCCTTACCATGAGGAGAACTGAAGCAGCTTCCTTAGATGCCAGGCTGTGGGAGGAGAGGGTGGCACCACTAGGACCCAGAGTGTAGAAAATTGTGTCTGCTGCTGGTGCATATGTGCACGTCATTTGAGCTCCCCGCCTCAGGTGCCAAAATGTTGTGGGACGGCCCTGCGTACAGTCAGCAAACAAGCGAGTACTGAGTGTATGTGTGTTAAGCAGGACTGAGGACATGATTTTCTGGGCTCTGGGGGGCCCCAGGTCCGGGACCCAGAGGGGCAAGTCCTTAGGTGGAAGGGACAAGGCTGGGGGGACAACCTCCCCCAGCCAGCCCTTCAGCCCTGCCAGGCACTTACCTCTGGTGATGATTAACAGGGCCCGGAGCTCTGGCTGCTGCTACTGCTAAGGTAGCAGGAGCAGCAGATGGGAGCTCCAGGCCCTTTTAAATCCTTAGCCCAAGCTGCCTCTGTCCCTCCCTCCCTTGTTGGCAGCTCTGATGTTAAACAGCTAATTCAGCACTCTTTTTCTAGCAGCTTGCTTATTATACCCAGCCCCACTTCAGTACATTTCAGCAATGGTTTCTACTAGCGAAGTGACGCCAACCCACCTCCAGTCCCAAATTTCCCCAAACCTGTGGGCTCTGCAATGGCCAGGCCATTCCCGAACCATTCAGAGGAATTATATGGGACTGTTCGCTTTTTAAAGAGTCAGTACCCAGCAGCTTGCCTCATGAACCAAATTAATAATCGCTTCAATAGAGCACTGGGTTAGTTTAGATTAAAACAAAGCAAGTTTATTAACAACAGAGCATAGGTCAAACAATGCCAAATAAAAGAAATAAAGGTTGAGATAGTTACAAGCAAGCAAAAGTGAAGAATATGCATCAAAATCTAAAACTTAATCTAGCAAGGCACAGTCTTTGTTTCGATGGCTTCTCTCACCAATCACTCTTTGTCCAGACTGGCTGACTGTCTCTTAATCAGAACCTCCCGCAAAAGTAAAGGTGCTGGTTTCCCAGGTCTTCCTAGGTGAATGATAACATAAGGTTCTTTTTCTCTCTCTTGCATAGTTCAGGGAACTTCTGAAATACATTGTTCTGAAGGTTCCCCTCCCAAAAAGTAAAATTCATTCCAGCTGTGAGGAAGGAGGCAGGGAATCAGGTGTGGAGTGAAGTTCTGAGCTGGTTTCTTTCCACACTGATGTTTGCTGAAACATAAATTGTTCTGTTTCTGCCCTCCAAGTTGGAAATAAATGGCTGCTTGCCACGTGATTGCTAATCGACTCTGATGACACCTCCCTGGAAGTATGGGCTTGTTGTTTGTCAGGAAGAAACCTACTTCCCCACTCCCCAGATTTGTCTGATTAGTTCCACATTTCCTTCCTTGGTCATTTACTGGACGCACAGAATGGAAGAAAATGATCAGTGTGATCACTTTTCCACTACGTGAAAAGTGATTGCACTGCTTACATGACACCTCACTCACAGTTTATGACATTCAAGAATTAGGATACACTGAACTGGTCCAACCTACTGAAACTCCCTAGCAAATATCAATAGCTCCTTGCCCTCTTGCATTAGGATGCCGTTAGGGTCACAATCCCAGAACTCCCTCAGTCAATTAGTGGATCTGGAATAATTGTATTTTTATTTCTGCTAAAATAACAAATTGAAGGATCACATCCTAAAATGGACTTCTGTGCTCAGGAGGAAAAAAACCCACTCCTTCTGTGCCACTGCATTCATGTCACAAGATTTCCATCCGAACTGTCAACATTCCTACTTTGACAGATCTAACGTCATGTGCGGTGACAGGTAT